CGTGTCCCACTTTATGGAAACTGAAAACGATCATTCACATCGAACCGTTTTAGAGTGATAGAGTGATGTAAAATAGTAATCTGCAACCTGGTATTTGTCAATGTTTACCCGTTACAATGGAGTCTTACATGTTGAGAAAGTAGAAGATAGCGGATAAAGTGAATCATGTACATAAAACACATCACGTTTGTTGTGTTAATGACCACATAAAGTTCCTAAAAGTGTCTTGTCATCGAGATCCCATCTGTTCTTCGAATAAAACTGTCTGTACTATGAACACACGACAAAGAAAACACTACTCTTGGGAGCTAACCTGAGTCTGTCAGTGGCAGAAACTACTGTTAGTGGACAGATTTGCATTTGTCCTCAAGGATTAGCTAACCGCTAGCTAACGGTAGAAGGCAGCCTTGGCGGGCTATTTTCTCATCTAACTCAGTAAATTAAAGGTTTATTTCCACCAAACCAGAGTTGGTGATAGTTGGAAAGACTAACAAAGATGGTTTTGGTGAGTTTATTTTGTTTTTGCCCCCTTGGATGAAGTTCAGAGGTTACGATGGTATGTGAGGTAAAATTACAGTTTTTTTCTCTGGAGTCTGGTGGAGAGTGATTCTGGCTGTTTGTGGTTAAACTAAAGGTCTATCTTTTCCATAATGCTGTCAGACACTGAGAATAACAATCTGAGTCTGTTGTTAAAACACTGAGAGGAGGTTAAAGTATTTATTTAAACTCTGAGTCTGTTCCTGCAGTCCCTCTCACCGGCTGCAGACGGCCCCAACTACCTCCAGGACAGGGCAGCATGAGAGGCGACACCCAGGGCAAAAAAAGAAGAAGAAAGAACTACAAAGAATTTCCTCTAAAAACAACAAAAATAACGTGTTTAAAGATATAACTGTGGTTTCTGGGTGTTTCTGTTTGAGGTGTTAAAACTGTTGCTGACTGTTGTTTCACCCACTGAGAGACTGAGACCGTTAAAAAGCTCTGACCCTGCAAACAGCAACAACATTACTCTAATATTAATATTCATAATACTAATAACTGAGTGTGTTTGCTGCTTTTACCTTCCTCTGTCCACCTCCGGGAACGTGGCCGATGTTGTCCAGAGAGCCGATCTTGGACTGGACTTTAAACTCCACCTTCTCATTTTTGATCTCGATGTTTCCGCCGCCTGAAACATGAACAGTGTCGTTATTGATTATTATTCAACCCCCCGAACACTGAGCTGTAATCACTGAGCCAGTTTCTGCTTTAATAACCTCGTCCTGCGTTAGAAAAAGTGTGTGGTTGTTAAAAATAAAGAAAATATATAATACAGATGAAGAATTGTAGAAAAAGTTACTAAAATATCAGGAAAACAAACATATTTGCAGCTTTTTTTAACACAAATTTCCCCTATTTGGGTTCATTGTCTTGTTTATTAAGGAAGTTTTATTTTCGTTTTTAACGAGGAAAAAGGAGTAAGTGCCTTTATTTAAGGATTTAAATGTGGAAATTATACCTTTATTTTGTGGAAAAAAACTATATTAAGTAAAAGTGGACGAATATGATTATATCTGACATTATTAATTATAATTATTATACATTATTACGATCACACACTCACCTGGTTTATGCCGGATGTTGTCTTTCGATCCACATTTAGATGTCACGTTGCTCAGATCGATCTTTTTGTGCAGGATTTGAACCTGCGAAAGGCGACAAAAGCATAAGAACTCAGTTTTCATTTCAGAGTAAAAGCACAGGCTGGGACTGTCACAGACTTGGGTTCTGCATGCGGCTACGAGAGGAACTGATCCTACAAACTGTTAGTCTGCTACAGCTGTTAGCAGATCAATAAAAACAAACAAACAAACAAACTGGGGTAGATATTAACGTCTTGTGCTTTAACCTTTACTTTGAAGGAAAATGATCCGTTTCATGTTAGTATAAAGTTTAAAGGATCATCTTCTTCGTTCTTTAACACAAACCGCTCATGTTGATTGATTAGAAGAGCGATATTTATCGTCTCAATGACCTCACGTCAGGCTCTCGGGTCTTTGTCTCCGGACACAAAGTGCTCAGTGTCTCCGCTGAGGTCATCGGCGCTCGCCACAACAGGCACTGAGCGGAGGACAGAGGCGCTCTGTGACGCAGCTGAGACGCCTGCTCGTTAGTTTTATGACACAATTAGTTCACTTCACCTCGCGGGAGACCGGCGGTTTTATTTTCTATGAACGCTTCACATACTCACCGTTAATTAGCTGCTAGTTAATGGTGAGTATGTGTGTGCCTTAATGAGCGTTACCGATGTTTCAACTGGAGGTTAGGGATCAGTTCGAGTACAAACACACACCAGGATTCATGCACCATGTTTAAAAGTCTCTGAACATTGATCACGAGTACAGATCCAACAGAGTTATCCAGCTTACATCAGACCATGAGCATTACATCACTGTCAGCTGTGACAGCTGTTCACGTGGTTAAAAGCAATATCCTGTTACCTGTTATAACCTGTTCACTTCAAAATAAAAGCCCTATGGTTGACGCAATATCCTGTTACCTGTTATAACCTGTTCACTTCAAAATAAAAGTCCTCTGGTTGAGGCAATATCCTGTTCCAAAACATGAATAATATTTATTATTCTAATGTACGTAAATCACAACATTTTATATAATAAAATATGTGTCGAGGATGTATTATGTTATTTAATAATACACTCGGACACAAACATTGACCCACATTCATAAGGAAGAGTACTGGTAGTAAAGTAATAGCTTACAGTCAGAATGAAATGCTCATGTCTGTGTGTAAGTTAATAAAACTGTTAATAGGAGGTGTTAACAGAGTGTTTGGGAGGATCGAGGTTTCACACAGACGGGAGGTTTTCGTGCATCCTGCTCCTTGGTGAAGATGCATTCAGCAGAAGCAACTAGAAGGTGTTTTTTTGGCAACCTGCAGCGTGCCACGGGCCCGATATCCCATATCTACTCACATTGCCACCACCGGGTACATGTTTTATATTATCTTTGGAGCCACAGCGGGACTGCACATTGCTTAAGTCCAACTTCTTTTCAAGAATTTGCACCTGGAAAAGTCGATATGTGGGGAAAGAAGACGGTTATCCTGCAGGAAGCAACAGCAGCCGAGCTGTGAATGAGGACCATTTCTGGACAGGAAATTAGATCTGTGAAGGGACGAGTTCGAGGCTCAGGGGAGTGAGATCTAACCAGAGCTGATTAAAGTTATTTTTAACAAAGAGTTGT